GAATTAAGAAGCAGAAAGTTAGCGGCCATCCAGGTCTTTATGTCTTTAAGACATTCCTGCAGTTTAACTAATTGGTGTGTGTTATCTGGCTTCATGAACAGATAAATTTGTGAAGCCAGATAAAACACAAGTTTGGTGTCTTCTGCTTAGCAGTAGCAGGGCTTTCTTACAAAGCAGCAAACTATTTCTCCAGGCTAAATGATGATCTTCTAAATGTGTGATACACCACTTCCTCTCCAGCTTACGAGTTATTTGCTTTAGGCTACATGTTTGAGAATTATACCAGGGAGTCAAGTACTTCTGATTTGAGGCCTACAGGAGCTACAGTATCCAGAGTCACTCATAGTGAGGTTAAATTATTAACAAGATAATCAACCTCTGTTTGAGTAGCGTTCAGGTAGCGGCTCTGCTGTGTGTTGGTACAGGGCATTGAAGACGGTCAATGGGTGGATTATATTCTTAAACTTAGTTGCAGCACATTCAGAAAGACGTCCACTGTGATGAAATCTACTCCCCACTGCTCTGTAATCAATTGCTGTAAATTTAAATGTTATCAGGAAATGATCAGACAATAAAGAAGTAACGCAGAAGGCCAAGCACCAAAATCAAACACACCGTAATGCAGGTTTATGATTTTATGAAACTCTATACGCAGATCATAAGCATTATCAGTGAGTGTGTTTCAAACATCACGCGTGATTTTACTGTGACGTGCAGCTGCTGCTGTGTGCCCTTTGCACGGAGTAGTCCAGCTGCGTGGGTCTCACCTGTGTGCGCCCGGGCTGAGGAACAGTCACGTCAGAGCGCAGTCTGAGGACTGACGGAGCTCCGAACTCACTCACTCTAATGGCTCTCATCAACCTGCTGCCTGACATGCCCGCACATGCGTTCAGATAAATCAACCTTGAAACTCGGACGTCGTACTCTTCAGGACTTCCACACTGCGTCAAATTGCGCTGCTTCTTCTACGTTTTGGGGCATTTGTTGAAGGTTTTCTGTATTGTCGCCCTCTCCTGTGCGGCTGGGGAAGTGCTCCGTCGACTACATCTGCAGTCCAGGCCAACACTGAGCGTACACGGCTTTTACTTTGTAATTCTGTGGGATACTCCAGCACAGCTGCACAAGTATTATGTGTTACATTTAGCAGTACTTTTTTTTTTAAATACCACACAATATTTACACATCACACTGGAATTATTATGCAAAGTCTGTCTGATACTCGACACTGATCACAGTTGTTAGCTGGATCCTTTTCCACTAATTTCAGTGCACGTCAGCACAGTAAGTCCAGTTCTTAATGTGGCATTCATCTGTGTTGTATGTGTGTGAGGAAAATTCACTCTGCTCATTTTCAAATCTGAAATTTTCGGATTTGAAACTGTAAAAGTGGAGCACTGTCAGAGGAACATACTGGGCGGTTGCCCAGGGCCGCATCGTGGTGGGGGCGGCATCACGGGCAACAAAAAAAAGTTGCTCGTACTCATGCTGCCCCGACGTCAGCCAGCGCATTTTGGCGATGACATGGGCACCGATCGGTTTTCCATCGCCCGTTTGCTGGGAGTAAGGGCGCCCTCCGTTTGCGAGGTGCGGAGGAGAGGGCGGGGCGGCGGGGGATTCTCTGGCTGGCTGGAGCAGCATCTAATAACCAACTCACAAAATAAAACAAAATAAAAACAAACCAACAAACACGAAAACACCAGACATGATACAGACTTATAATTTGCACCGATGTTTTTTCGAAATTCTATACACAAAAAGTGAGCGCGAGAGCCCTCGG